TAGGTGATCCAAACCATTGGCCGGTTATTCATTTGTTTATTCACGCTTGGTCAGTCGTGACGAGACTGTAGCCGCAGTTAACGATGACTTCCGACACGTTACGTCGACTTTTCAAAATGTTATGCAATCCCAGCGTTGCGGCCCGATCGTGTGCTACCTGTGAATCCTATTACAGGCGCCGCCGTTGCATCCATTTGCCTTCGATGTTTTCGTACCACTTCGAAATTCTGTGCAAACTCGACTCCCCGCCGGCCACTACAATATACGTATATATTAAACATCCGTCAAACGTATTTCCGCGAAACAGCGTTATTTTTCCCCTTATCGAGATCTCGTTTTTCATCCTTTTACTATCTACGTCGAACTTTGATACCGCTAATCATATTGAATTGCGCGCTATTTCTACGTAGCAGTTACCGTTACGCGTGATTCGCTGGACGTTGCAATCGTGCCGTCCGGAAATTTCGGCTCCTCGTTCGGGAATGTTCGGGACACGAGGCGTGGGGTAAAGGCGGGAAAGCCGGGAAGGTCGCGTTTCGTTTCGTTTGATTTCCGATCGAAAGGAATCGACCGATACTCCTTTCTCTCGAAATTTTAGCATAGTAGAGAACTATCCGGTGGAACAACACGATCTAGCGTCCACTAGAGCGGCATGTGCCGTGCTACACGATACTTTTATGCGCGTCCACACCGCGGACTGGACACTTACGTAATCGCAATGATCTCACACTGTGGGTGGGGACTTGTCGCTAACGCGTGTGCCTCTGAGGCTGTACTGGCCTGCCACCTGAACGTGTGTGCGCGCGCATACGCGTGCCCGCGCAGCAGAAGCGTACAGCGTGTCCGAAAAGTCTGCGCCATAGAAAGGCGTGCAGCATTGTTTCTACCAGAGGCGAGCCAGATGACCGGCTTTCTAGCCCCGAAAAGATACTCTTGAAAACGGAAGATAGGTCGCCTTGATATCTCGTTTATCTCGCAGCCGAAGTCGAGTAAGTCTTGTTGTGGCCCGATATCGCGCAACAGTAGCATTGTTCGTTCGATGTGAACGCCGCGAGGTTATTTCCTAAACGCTGCGCGCGCACAGGGGGCCATCTTAATTTTTCCGGGCCTCCTATCCAGGTCACCGCGTTCAGTCGATGGATATCGGGCCGTGTGTTATCGTTTACGATTATCTAATACGACACCTTGCAATTACTTTTTACTATGCTTCGCCACTGTCCCATCCGGCAACTCGCTCCGCAGAAAAATATACCCAGCAGTTTTGCGAAGCGATCGTTCTCATTCGTTTTGTTCGTTTTTCGCAGGTTGTCCCGAATCGAACGATCCACCGGATACGCTTTAAATAACCAGGAAATGTCGAACGCCTCGGAACAGGACGAAACAGGGCGAAATTCGGTATGTAGGTCGGCCGTTCCGCGACGCGACGTAACAAGCTCCGGGGATGATTAGCGTGTCACAAGAGGGAGACGACGATTGCGAGATCGTTTGAGAGTAACAATGGCGAAGGAGAAATTACGCTGTCGGCTGGGTGTACGCGAGCAGCGAGAGGCACGTAAGCGAGCATGTAAGTAAGAAAGTCTGTCTCTGAAAACAGGCGTCGCGGATGCGCGGGTGAAAACGCGCGAGTAACCCGGGAAATGAGAGAACAATAAACCGACAAACGAATTATTTTTCTTTTAGAAGCGGACTACGTGTAATAGCGGCTACAGCAAAATATTTCTAAATGCAGAGCATTTTTGAATACAGAAAAGGACATTAGATTCCAGCAAGAAGCACTCCAACCTTTTTTCCTCCTCCCTAATGTTTGCAATGACATATGATTGAGATGTGATCGAGCAGATGGTGGTATGATTGCTGATATTCATGTGAAATTAATTGAATTTCAAAGCGAATAACAGCGTTGGCTGTCGACTAAACTACATGTAATAAGAGCTAATGCTAGAGCGAAATGTTTTCAAACGAGGAGCGTTTCCGAATGCAGGGAAAACACAGATGTCAACAAAGAGAGTTATTTTCTCTTTTCCTTTTCGTAATCTTTGTAATACACGATCCAGAAGACCGAGAATGGTTAATATTCATGCGGAATTAGTTTGGAGAGAATGATAGTTTCAGCGCTGGAGTAAATTACACGTATCGTCGAACGAGTGGGTTAATTAAATACGTGTAATTTAAGGGATCACGTGAAAAATAAAAAATAGGATATCGACCGTGAGTAATAGCAACGACAGACGTTTGCACCTTGTATAGAATAAAATCACAACAATCGAGACAGTCATGGCCTTTAATGAGGCGTGCTATACCTTTCGACACAACGGCCAAACGGCAATTGAAGTACCGATTGCAACAAGAACTTATTATTGCAAAACAAAAATGCGGTTGTGCTAAAAGGCAGAAAAGTTCTCCGGTAGGCGGGCGTGGAACGTTCGAACGCCGTCCGATAATTCTTATCGACGCCGCAATTTGCAACAGTGTTCGAAAAATAGTGCAACGTCGGTGTACGCGAGCATTGATACCCGTGTTATAATTTCTGAAAACTTTCCTTTCGCGGCGTAGCAATCCGTTTGGAATTGCAAGCAGTGTCTATGGAATTAATGCACGTATGCAGGTATCGGAAATAATATTCCCCCGACGTTACGTATACTATTTATTGATAATTTATTTCGCCAACCCCGTTTCTATATTTGTCCAGCTAGCAATAACAGGTTCTAACAGTACATTCGACAATGGTTACGTGTCTCGTATTACCGTTAACGTTTTCGGAAACTCTTTCTGTCCTCAAAATTGGGACACTTTCACTATCGTATGAAAGACTCGGCACTTCGACCGGCCATATTTCATCCAGGTTACAAAGAAAGTCAGCGACGTTTGTCAGCAGGTCACTACTTTAAATTACACTGCTCTTCGTTTTGCATACCTTTGTTACAGCATACGTTACGTACGGTTCAACGTCCATTCGACGTATTGAAAGGAACGATCGTCTCGTTTTCCTATAAACACGCGAATCCGCGACGTTACGACTCTCGTGTTTCTCCACACTCGACTGTATATTAAACTGTGTAGCAAGCCGTGTATATAAAATGTCTTCGATTCGATAAAACGTCGACGAATCGCGAGAAACAATACGCTTTCTCTCAAGAGGACGCCAGTTTACTTTACAGACATAACCTAACCTAACCTAACCGTCGACGAAACAGCGCGTTGTCAAGAAGCGATGTTTGTCCGTGCATTAAATTAATCTTCGCCGATTCAAGGCCAGCTCGGGTAGCGAAACAATTCTTTCGTTACACACTTCATACATTTTCTTTCCCTTTTTTTTTTTTTCGCCTTTTTTCCTACGGCACACGTAGAGAGCAAGTAGGTAGCAAAAGAGCAAGTTGAGCGAGCAAGCAAGCGAGAAACAGGCAAGTCCCGAAGGGGCCTCGAGTATACGCGATAGATGAAAGTGAAAGGGAAGGTAGAAAGGGTTGGCGGACGTATATACTCGTGGCCGCTGTTACTCGCCATATACTCGGCCGCGGGGGCCCAGAGCGCAAGATTTACAATCGCCACGAGCCAGAACGGGCCAGAAACCAAGGAAAATACCACGAGGCAGTCGCGAGAGTACCTGCGTGAACGAGCAAATCACCGCGCCAACTATGATAACATACGCCTGTCCTAAATTACCAAACCAGTTATCTCCAAAATTAGACTGAAATGCAATTTTCTAATTCTCAATTTCTTTCTATACCTTTCCTTTTCTTTCTTTTCTTCTAGGGGAAAAAGACGCATCGTACCATCATTAGGTAAAGAGGTTATGAAATATATTCGAACGCGAGAAACACTCGAAAGATGAAAACTAGGCGTTTAGAAAAACTGTATTCCAACTATCGAAAAATTGATAAGTTATGTATATTCCATTTTGTTCTCTCAACAGCTTCGTTCCTCTTGAATGGAAGCGGCCTGTTCTGCAAGTAGGCGAGTATATGCGTTCGTAATTGACTTTTCAGTCGAGCAGAGATTGTTATGTTTTCTCGACGACTGCGTGGGTGAAAACGCTCTCTGCACGATTCTGACAAACTTTACGATAATTTTCTGTTACACCGTTATGGATCACGATAGAAATTATAGATAGCCGCACGATCATCCTATCCCACCGAAGGGAAATAACATTTCCACGTGTAGGCGGCCCAAGAATTCGAGTTTCAATCCCGCGTTGCACTCTGTTTTAGCTTCCTCTAAAATTTCAAATAGTTTACGATTTATGTAATTCACGTTACCGACGGAGCACGCGATGAAACGTTTCCTACATGGTAGAAAATCGTGGCTCCTAGGTTCCTGCGATATACTGGTCGCTAAAAAATGTGAATGGTGTTTCATTGAAAGATAATCCAACGAATATTTCACAATCAAACGTACGTGACACCTCGACCGAATTCTTCGTTCCCTCTTAAAAGTCAAGTATTCAAGGTTGCGACATATACCGGTGAAATACTTTCGCGTAGAAATATCAATTAGATCGAAGAAGCTTATTTCTCTACGTACGAAATATTTTCGTGTATGTATGTATCTATATATTTGTCGAACTTGGTCCGTCTGGTAGTTCCATCTGACGTCGGCCGTGGAAGGGACTAGCAACCATTGAGAAGATCGAGACACAACGAATAACCGTGTTCCGCGCGATCGACAGAAATTTCAACGCGCGATGTAATCGTATCTGCCAATTCGGCGAAACTCGGCTCGAGTGAAAGTGCACGCTGCGAGTGAAACATTTTCGCCTAACGTCTTAAAGCCATTAAAATCGCGCGGCCGAGTTTTATCGTGGGACGACGTCCGATTTTTATTTTACTCGGAAAACAACAATCGCGTTTTAACCGTGCTACTTGCTTGCCACGCTTATGTAATCGCCATCTATTGCCGCGAACTCGAAACACCACCGATGAATTTTAACCAGTTTTAAAGTCCGTACATCTCGTTCGATGATAGTGTCGCTCGGACATTTATACCTGTCAGACGATTAATTATTATTACTTTCTGCAATGTTTGCTCCGTGTCTGTCAATTAAGAGAAATCACTGGTAATTTGTTTTCCTTTTCCCGTGTCAACAGCTTTCAACGATTCGATAACAATTGCCGTACGGTGACCAATCTGCCACTGATGTAAATACGATCGTGGTTTTGATAACCTCAATCTTCGAGTTCGTTCGTGAAATTTGCTGAATTGAACGGAACGCCCAGAATCTTTGCGAAAGTATTGTTATTTTAATTATTATTAGTAATTATACAACATTTTCACTAAAAAATCTTCTTTCTTTCATATTCGTTCGTATCGCGAGTATTTTGACGTAAATCAATTTACGATCAATAGCATTTCGTTTATGATGAAATTAACGTATTACACTATGCAACCTCGAAATATTATTTCCAGTCAAATTATTATTATTTTATTAATACCGATGTATTATGAAATTATTATTCTTTAAATAATAGGTTAAATATAGGTTTAAATAATTTTGTACCCCAAATATTTTCTAACCTCGAATATTCTATTTATAGGAGAATTGATGCAGCGGAATCTTCGACCCCGAAATATTTTCTTCGCAGAAAAATGGATGTATTGGGATTTTTGAACACCCTATCCCAAATATCTTCCAACTACTTTACTTGTATCAAGATTGATGTAAGAAAATCTTGCCAGATGTGTATCGAGCAAGACTATTTCATTTGTAGGTCTAGCAAATATTTTCCTACTACTAATGCGTTGTTTATAACAAAGTTAATACACGAAAATCTGCAATTCTTCAGGTATTTCTCAATCACGATCACTACCAGCGACAAATACGAAAATTAAGCAACAGAACTACGGAAAAGGGTTAAGGACGAGCGAAGAACTAGCAGTTAGGCAAAACCTGGCTTAGATAGCAAAGCCATAAGAAACGACAATCGGACGCGGGCAATGTCCATGACCAATGGTGCACCAAGGGCCGATTATCAAGATGCAAAAGCAGAAACGGTGGCTGAAGAACGAGACTAAGAACTTCCTCTCTCTCGCGGCGCGAATCGCACGCGCGGATTCCCACGGTACGAGATAAGACCGGCAGAGATAAAGAGAAGCACGAGGGAGAGAGGATAAGAGAGAGAAAGAAGGAGAGAGAGAGAGAGAGAGAGAGAGAGAGAGAGAGAGAGAGAGAGAGAGTGATAGAGCAGGGAGAGATGTGAAGGGGAAACCGGGTAAAAAGAGGAGGAAAAAAGGAAAGAGAAAGAATAGCGGAGAGAGGACAGGGGAAAGGGGGAAGAGGGAGAGAGAGAAAACGGCGAGGACGATGTGGGAAAAGAGGAAGCTAATCAGAAGCGGAAGTACGCTCTGGCGAGGCCCGAGGCCTTGAGAAGCATAGTCAGCCGCGCAGCTTTTAGCTCTCTTAATTGCAACTTCATTTAACGTGCCCTACACATCGAAACGTTCGACCAATCCGAGGCCTCTGCGCCGCGAGTCCGCGTCTTAATAACCGTCTTATCGTCGACGAAGAAACGTCTGAGAAGGAAGCAACCGCAGGCGGACCGTGGAAGGTGAAAATGTTCGAGACACGCCGGCGAAACCACGTAGAAAATCCAACATTCTTTCAAACCAATTCCAACCCGATCGCGCACACCGCGGAATCCTTCATTCGTCAACCTTTTCTCTCCTTCTCGAACAATACGCTTTTCATCTGAAGAATGTAATTCGAAAAGCCAGGTAGACCGATGTAGACTGTTGCGATACGATGAATCCATTTTTGGGTTTACAGCTGACACGTATATCTGTCTTCGTTTTAGGTTACGTTGGCGAGCTCGCGAATGCTCCTCGAAAGAGACACATCGTGGTTAGATCGCAAGACTATTCGTAGGTAATATGTTTATGCATCCATGTTTCGCCGGATGTTATTATTGCCACAGCGTATCTCCGTAACGTTTAGCGCGCGGAAAAAATGCAATCGAGTTAAATATACACCCGGTATGTATCATACAGCGCTTGTTCGTGATTATAGTTATCTCGCGGCACCTATATTAGTTACAATCGGCCCGCGATAATCGAGTTTTTCCTATCAGCTGCGAACATTTCTATAGCGCGATAATGCTACGCGTTGCAATTCCATTACGACTGTGACCGTCCGAACCAATTCCATCTCATCCATGACCGTGAAATTCATTTCCAGTATCACGGCAACGAGAAAACGTTCGCTAAACACACGCACGGAAAAGAAGACGTGGAAGGAAAATGGAAGAACCGGGATCCAAGAGGAGAAGGGGACCGGTGGAAATAACGCGATAGGAAATGCGCCATCTACCTAGCGATCGCGATTAAACGAGGAAACGTAAATTCTTCTTGCGTAAGACCAGTCCGGAACACGATTCACGATCGATTTGGCCCGTTGTCTGTCCGATCATCGGAAGTGATCGATATCGAACAGACGTAAGAGGTATGCGACATTGTTTCCGAGCAGAGATATCGTAACCCATCGAACGACCGATACTCATTACCAGCTTCTCGTTAATTAATCGTTCCCGAGACGCGATTGCCTCTTATAATGAATCAACCGGTAATCAATGACCACGTAACACAGATAAAAGTGATCGGGATACTATTTGCTCGCCATTTGGAAACAGGTGGTTGAAAAGTGCGCGACAGATATTTAAATTGCCTCTGGTTCAAGCGTAAATGTTAACTATCATTAAACGCTCGTTTACTCGTTCGTTCGATGGTTTATTCGCAAATATGCCAGTTACACCCGCGAACACGTGGTTATCTCGATACGTATGAGAATATTTTCTTTTCGAACCGATCTGGCTAATCAAATTATCTTAACGGAGCCTAACTCGTCTTTGGCTAACTCCTCTAATCTAGCGAGCTATCGTGTATCGCGTGGTAAAATATTTGGTAGTTTGCGTTGTACACAGAAATACACAGGATTTTACCGGCGAGAACGTTTCGAATACCGGCGAGTCACGCAATCGCGGGAATTATTTGTCCAGAAAATGAAACGTGAAAGTAAAGATTCCATATTTTGCTTCTTCGGCCGGGGTGTTTAAACGGGAATATCGTGTAATAAATCGGGAAGAAAATGGCATTCCACGAAAGGGGCAAATTGTCCACTACTCCGAGAGGAAATTCTTCTAGACCAGTGGTCCGTTTTAACGGCGACAGAAATTTGTTGTTTATCGCCAGCTCGGGAAAAGAAGGCTCGCTGGGCGTCGTGTGGAAAGAAAAGAAAAGAGAGGAAGAAAAATTGGGAAAAAGGAAAGAGACAACGTTAGCCCGGAATTTCGACTGGTTCACCTTTCAAACTTGACCGTAATTTCTGTTTGCATCGGAACATTTGCGTGGATGCAAGTTCTATATGCACTGACTATGCGAGAGCGCAACATAAATATATCCGGCAGATAATGGCCACATGAATACGAAATGGCGAACGTAAAGACGCCTTTCGACGAGCTCGACCTTGACTCGAGATCGCTTTTTCTTTACGATCCGTCATCGCGAGCCATTGATGACCACATAGAACTCGCGAGTCCCTCCTCCATCTTTTTCCTTTTCCCCTTTTTTGCTCTTTCTTTTTCTTAAAAACAGTTGCGCAACGTTCATACGCGGCCATGGAACACCTGAACTTGAATTACACGTTCAGAAGAAGCCTCCTTACGTCGTTACGCTGAACGAGTGAACAGGTCTATTTGAAAGTTTCCCGAAGATTACCAAGATATTAACGAAGGACAACAATGGCCAATAAACAGCAAGGACAACGGGGACCGCGACGACTACGGGTGAAATTGTTATTTCCTTCTTGCACCAGATGCCTAAGAAGCTTACTCGCGTTCCGAGACCACGTACACCCGACGAAATTCTCATCGGGAACGAAAACAAGCCGCGAAACCAGGCTCTTCGATGGAAATAGGAATTACCTTCGCGGAGTCAATAGTCGCGGTAATTTGTTCTACAACGCACTCGATCATATTTTCTCATTGTCAGTGCGGTCCGTTGCCAATCCATCTACCTGTCTCTAGGTGCGTTAGAACTCGCGATCGTTTTTGCGTCCAATTACGTCGCTACTTTAATTTACACAGCCCGTTGTATCGAATCGCACGGAATGCTGGTTCACTGCTCCGGTAATTTCCTCATTATCGTTCGCAGTTTCACCGTTTCGTCGATACACCGAAGTGCCGTGTCAAGTGACGCGGCGGAGACTAAAAAGTCGAGAAAGCCTGGCGAGTCTCGTCGAATCTCGTTTTCAGCTACGTTTTCGCCGCTTCGCGTGCTAGTAATTGCGCACACGGGCTCGTGCCACGAATCCTCGTCGTTCTCAGCGAGTTTTATGTAAATATTATCAGGCCACATCGTCTCGTTCGCGCCTATCGCCAGGCCAGATTCATTCTCGTGCAACCGTGATAATTAGATCGAAATTAGGGAGAAATTCATGCGTAGTAACGAAGTAACGAAACCTATAGTACCTATACACCCGCATAGGCGTTAATCGTTGGCGAATCGTAAGGGAGATGAAAATGGGGCTAGTTATAGGCCTACATAGATGTCTCTGCGCTCAGTGTTCTCACCTTGTCGTTTTAATCGTCCGTACTTTATCCAATATCGATGGTATCCAAAGAAAGCGGGCCGGCGAACAGCGCTGTATCCCTTAAGACTCTCTCGAAGAGTCACGAAGCATCTCCACGAGCCGACGACCCGAAATCCCGTGATAGCGGCGGCGAGGACGACGGTACAGACACGTGACATACATTGATATACCGGAGCATGTATCACCACCGGCACGAGAAACAGATCGCAGCACGTCGTACTAGAGGAACGCAGACGGAACGGTGGAACATTAACCAAATCAGGGTTGCAATATCGAAGCTCTGGCACTGAATCACTTCACACCGAGGAGCACGTCCACACAGTCACGAAGCGTGAAAGATGGTATCGCGGAGGATCGATTCTCGTTGATCGTGGATCGGTTGGCCGGCGAGTGGTAGTCTTCGTGGTAGGAAGAAATTGGAAAGCGAGCGATAATCGAGAACCCGGCTCTCAAGGGCCAACACAGTCGGTCTGCTGGTTTCACACGTGTGTCGCAGGCTATCAGGCGCGTGATCTCATCCGAAGGGCGTGATTTGGTAACGCGATTGCTCGCGCGACACCCTGGCAAACGGGGGATTAACCGACGACGAAGGCGACGACGACGACGACGGCGCCGACGACGACGACGACGACGGCGACGACGACGACGACGACGACAACGACGTGGAGAACTTTTTTCCAACGGGGTCTGCTCCGTTGGCTGCCCAGGGTCAACCGGCTGGCTCCGAGCGCGGCACTTTTACCCGTTGGGTACTCTCAAGGACTCGGAGGTGGCTCCTATTCCTTTCTCTTATCCTTTCGCGCGCGCGCCTTTTTTATCCCGCTAACCTTTTTAAGCGCACTTTTAATTCCGCTCGGCCGCGTGTCTCCGTGCAGCGTTCACGAGCTCTGCGAGATCTTATTGTAAAAGAGCGACGCAACGTCGCGCGAGATCGCCGGGGGATGCGTTTTATCGATGAGAGGAACGAGTGGCACTCGCGAGGGTGGCAGATTAGAAATGTACGCGGTCTCGTTGGGGCTGAGAAAGATAACAAGTGGATTCAGCCACCGCATCCGGATCGTCTTTCAAACTTGTCCTCCGCTACTGGCGCGTCCTCGGCAGAGGCTTCTCCGTCCTTTATCCTCTTTCTCCGGGCGTCTTTGCCAGACGACTTCTTCTTTCACGACTCGTCGTCGTCGTCCACCCTCGGGACGATCCAGAACTCGTGCTCGAACACCGTATCTCCACTGCGTATCGTTGCCGTACAATTTCCTGCGGCGGATCACCGCGCTCTTTCTCTCTCCTTCTTCTGCTTCTCTTCTTCTTCCTCTCTGCCTCTCCCTTTCTCTGTCTCCTTTCTCTTCTGGTTTTGTAATCCGTTTTACGAAACTTCTGTAGCGTGCGGCGATCAAGAGAGACGGGGCCTGGAATTCTACCACGAAATCCGCCCAGAGGATCCTGCTGCCGTCCTCCTCGTCCCGGAAGCGGGTTACCGGTGGGATACCAGCGACGACCTTGAACACTCGCGTTTCGTAGCGCACGAGACGAGAACCGGGCATACGCGAACGATCGTCGTTACGATCGTTTCCATCGCTTTCCTCGTGGTCCACGACGATTCGAACGGGCCTCGGGAACGATCGCGATCGAACGCGCGCGTCCACCGTATGCGCGCTCTTTCACCTGTTTTCGTCGCCAGAGACCCAGGCTGGCGCGCCAGCAGTCGTCCAATCGGATATTAGCCACGGATTTCGCCAGGCAACGGACTAGAAATTGTTGTTACACAATTCTACACTTCGCTTTTCTTCTTTCCCGTTTCCCGTTTCGTCCCGTTCCGTTTCGTTCCGTTCCGTGCGTTCCGCCGTTCGGCTTCCCGACAATCACCGGGTTCCTTCCGCGGCAATGGTGGCGGCGATCGGCTCTCGCTTAGGAGACACGTCCGAGAGAAACACAGCTCCGAAGGTGGGACCAAATCCGAAAGCCAGCGAGAGAAAGACAGAGAGAGAGAGGCAGAGATATTCGGCTATGCCCAGCCTACGAGACAGGATCGGATTTTAGCGCGCTCCGCACGCGCTCCCGCGAGCCCAACTCGGCGGTTTCAACTTTTACTTTCAGCTCTTACACAACGCAGCCCGCTCTTGCTTCGTACGTAAGCGGCAACCGAGCACACCGAGTCTCGCTCTTTGCTTCGAAGCTGCTTCTTCTTCTTCTTCTTCTTTTTCTTCTTCTTCTTCCTCTTCTTCTCCTTCTTCTTCTTCTTCTTCTTCTTCTTCTTCTTTATCCTCCTTCTTTCTCCTTTCTCTTCCTTTCTCTCGATTCCTTTCACGGTTTCGCAATTTTACTTAACCTCGACGATCCCTCTCTCTCTATATATATATATATCTATCTACACGTATGTGTATGTATATATATACATATACATATATATGTATACATGTATATATATCTATATGCATGTATATGTGTCGGCCTTCGTGTACCTCTGATTTTCAAAAATGGGATATCGGGACTACGATGGTTTAAATCGGCATCCTTGTGGAATCTCGGAAAGCTCGTTCGATATGCAGCCGGGCTTTGTCTAAAGAGCACGTGCGTCGACGAAAGCACGTGCGGATGAGCACGTGTCCGGTGTTTTCGTTCGGCAAGAACGCGCACTGGGATCGCGCTGATAACAGCGCCGCTGTGCCAGCCGTATCGGGATACCGCGATGGCGAAGTGGCGGAAAATTCACGGGACGCGCGACGTCCGATCGAGGCGACACACTCCCATGGATACCCGGAAGACAGAGGCAACCAGAGGCCACGTGGCCTGCCGACGAAAGACTCGCGGCGAACAGGCACGACGACGACCACGAACGCGACCACGACCACGACAACGGTTACGACGGGAGTCGGCGGAGGCGAGGAAGACGAAGACGAGGGCGAACGGACGAGGACGACGATCACCACTAGGACGGGCACGAGGACGACAGAGGCTACGTTGACAACTTTTGTAGTCGGCTTTCACGAAATTTGTCTCACTACACACACGCTGCACACGCACTCACATGTACACGGGAACGACACATTCGATGTATGTTTTTCGCGCGTGATCTCTCTCTCTTTCTCACTTCGCCGGAGGACTTCTTCAGGGAGAGAGGGTCTCTTCCGGTCTCCGCGGTGTGTCTCACTGCTCCTCGCTCCGTCGTAACTTTTGCGCAAACCCGAGACCCTCTCTTACTCTTTACCTCTCTCTCTTTTTCTCCCTCTCTCTCTCTGTGTAGTGTTCACGCTCTCTCTCTCTTTCCTTCTTTCTCTTT